TCATTTTGATTTTTATATCTTAACTAGATTAAATTTATATAAAAAAAATTCTTATGTTATGCTTATATTTTGCTTAAGTGCAACGATGAAAAATTCACTTGTACGACAAAACTACATTGATCGAAAGGCAAGCACTTGGTTTCGCTTCTGGGATTTTGTGATAATGGCAACGAGACGCTGCTTTTGTACGAGTATATGCCCTATGGAACATTGGCACATCACTTGTTCGATTGGAGTAACCGTGGTCATAGCCTTTGACGTGGAAATCAGAGGATAACCATAGCGTTGGATGTAGTAAGGGGGAATTCAGTATCTTCATGGTCTAGCAAGAAGAGAGAATTAAAACCTTTCAACGTCCTTTTAGGAGATGGAATGAGAGTCAAGATTTCATATTTTGGATGTGTCAAGCTCACACGAGGGAGTAGACTCAATTCAGACAGTAACCATGGTGGGAACCTTCGGTTATATAGACCCGCAATATCTTGGTAAGTTAGATTCCATAAATTACTTTCATTCCATAACTTTTTAAATGTATAACTTTTTGAAGTTATGTTCGTAGGTACTAATAGGGTAACAAAAAAGGCAGACGTCTATGCATTCGGGGTAATCCTAATGAAAATGATCACAGGAAGGAAATGAAACGACGAGATATTGAGCGAGGTGGAGCGAAATTTGGTGATGTGGTTACGTCCCAAGATAAAATATACCAAGTTCTTGAACTCGATAGATGAGACTATAGTAAAGGGCGAAGATACCATTGAGAGCATCAAGAAGATCGCAAAATGGACCGATTACTGCACATCTCAAGAGGTTGAAAATAGGCCAGACATGTTTCAAACAGTGAACTATTTGGTTCCACTTGTGGAGCGTTGGAAGCCAACACCACCACCACAGGAAGAAGATGCATATTCCAAGGATACCACGACTCTTCGAGAGAAGTTGCATAGAAGAAAAATTGAAGCTGCTGAAGAACCATCTATTAGTTATTCAACTCAACTTGTACGATTCTTTTAGTTATTTATATGATACATTTGAGACATGTATGTCCAACCACAAATATCCAGAAGCAAGATGAACATAATATTGATAAAAAAATACACACAACCCAATCTTATATATCGACCCTGTTGATTAACTCAAACCCATTCCCAATAAATCCTCTATATATCAATTGAGTAGACATTAAATGAAAAATCTGATGTGTTATTCAATGAGAGTTTTAGGACACATCAATTAAACTAAGTAATCAAAATCTTCTAATTAATTATATATGTCATGTTGGAAATCCCTACATATTTACAATATTGTTTTAATATGAACTCACAAATATTGAAATACATATGTTACTAATTTTAATCCAACTAAAATATAACACTTTAATATTTTAAACATCATATAATATATTTTTTTAACAATGAATCATTTACCGATGTAAAATACTTTATAAAAATTGTATTTATGTCTATTTGGATACCATATGTGATTGATCATACAATTATTTTATATCGTTTAGTTGTATCCAGATTACTCTAATTTAAGTTGTGCTTTTGTTATAAACGTACAACTTTACAAATTAAACATTAATGTTTGAATTTAAAAAATCATCATTTTCACTTTTTTATTTATTTATTAAGAAGAGTTACATACTAACATGATATATTTTGGGTTAATTAGTTAAATAACATGTTTAAGTATGAAAATTAATAAAGTAACATGTGTAGTTTGTAAATTTAGTAAGTAACAAAGAGAAGTAAATTTTGACTATTTTATCCTTTTCAATCAATTCAATTAAAGTTGTCACATTTAATGTATATTTAATGCAAATTGTTTTTATGGTAAAAAAGAAATAATATTTTTGAAAATAATTTTAATTTCACATATA